CTAAGTACCCACACACTAAATGTGGATGCTTTTATAGCACCAAACACTACCAAGCTGTGTCCCATCAGTGTCAGTGATAAGTATGGATGCTGACAAGACTGTACTCTTATTTAGTGCCATTATTGATTCTGCTTACAAGTAGTCTTGTAAGATAATATAAAATTGATACAGGTGGGGAGATGCTCTACTGCAATAATTCTGACATCATTCTTTGCAAAAGAAATCATCCAAAAAACATAAAAGGAAGTGATAATGTCTCAGGAATGTGACTCTAAAACAAAACTGGAACTGGCTTTTGATTCCGAGAATCCAGCATATAATGATGTAATGCTGAAAACACGATGCAGGAAAGAAAAAAATGCACCAATTCCTGGAAGCTTGACTATAGCTTGACTGCACATTAGGTGGAAAAGTGAGGTCAAATATGTGGCTTCAATCATGCTTGATGCCTGAAAGCTTCATGCTCACCTGCAAGACGACTGGAGAACATTAAAGTCCCCATCAGCACCCAAGGCAGAGGGCGTCTGCTCTATGACTCAAGATTATGACTGAGGTTTAAATGCTTTTTAGATAGAAGGTAAGCAGGCTTCTTGTTAATAATCCAAAAAACAAGAAACTGAAACATAAAAACAAATGATTGTGTTTCTCGGTTACATATGAACTACGCAACCGTGACTCAGTATTCGAGGTTACTTTGAAACATAATGGGATAACCCTGCGGACTGAACGTCCGCTCACTCGATCATGTGATGTGTTTTGTAACTTCCCTCTGGTTGAAGTCACGCTGCAATGCTTCTCCTAGGTGTTCCTACTTCATCACGTCTTTTCTGGTAACCGATTACATGTCACTGCGCTCTGTTATGAAACATGCTGATTTGACTTCCTGTGCCAGATCAAAACACTAAATCACTATCAGTTCCTTCATTTCTATTGCATTATTGATTCAAGTGGACCATTGAACTACCCAGTTCTGAATACTTGGCACAATCTAATAGAAGAGTCAGCCAGGGAATGCAGTATCAAATGGAAACCAGCTGACACATTAAACATGATACAAAAGAAAACAGGACCGCTTTGACTCCTAACTGACATAAGGCAGCAACTGCCAAAAACAATGAATATGTCTAAACTAAACAACTAACCTGGGAAAAAGCCTGCAAATACCTGCTCAGGTGTCAGACTTCTCATTTTGTGCAACAAACACATCTTTTGCTGCACAAAAACTATTGTTAAATCCAAAAGATAGCAGAATTTCTCTAATATTTCTGACCAATTCATTTTTGTTAAAAACACAAAACACAGTTACTCTTCGCATAGTCGTGTTTGGAGGACATACAGTGTCGAAATAAAAAAAAATACTTAATAAAAATGCTAATAAAGGCTCCAAGATAAAGTAAAAAAGCAACAATCATTTTGTCAAAGACACTTTTATGTTTTGATTTTCCACTGTAGGGAAGACTAGCAATGCCAAAACCAAAACTAAATAATTTGTTTTTAAACGTAGGCAACAATTATTCTAGAAAAAATTATATTTTCTGATCAAATGTATTTATTCATTTGCTTAATCTGGTTTTCTTTTATTAAAACACAAAAGGCCACAACTCCTAACATTCGTGAACCTTTATTTTAATTATTTTTCTATTATGTTATTTTTCTATTTTTCTTTTTTAAAGTTGTTTTTGGCGACAAACATAAGTTCTTTAAATCGTCGTGGGGGAAAAAAGTTTCGCTCCTCTGGCAAGTTCTTACAATGTGGAAAAATCCATGCTGGAAAAACACTGCAAGAGTATTCGCCTGAACACATCTCCAGGGAAACGGTTCGGGAAAACATGTTGGTCACATGCAGCTAATTCTCATAATAACCGTCTCCGTTCTTCAACAACGTGTGTTCTCTGTTTTCTCCTCTTTTTCTTCCCAATTTCCTAAACGCTACATTCCAAGAATTCCTACCCTAACAAAGCTGGAGGAAAAAGAAAAAGGGTCTAGATGCTGGACTTCCAGCCAAACAACAGTCTCTGCTGTAAAGAGTCACAGCTGCAAAACTTCAACCTTTCAGCGACGGACAGCGAGACCAAAAACAGAGAGTGAAATCTTAGTGTGTGTAACGCAAATATTTTAAATGCGCAGACGTACCGCGACCCTCGGGCATGGGGAGGGATTCCTCTCCTTCAATCCGCGTAAAAACGTCTTCCTGTGGGTGACAACCAGGGCTGGGTGTCTTCACTTTCCCGTACCTCGGCTTCACTGTGCAAGGTCTCCACACAGCCTCCTTTTCTCTTCTCCCACGCGAGCCAGTAGGAAGCGCCGCTTCGTGCTCACGTGGATCGCAGGAGTAACAACAACACGAGCCATGTGTGTCCACCCTGTGAGCGCGCGCTACTGCTGAGTGACAATGGTTTGGTGTAAACCGCGCCCAAAATGGCAGATTTGGTAGTTTCCCTACTGCACATATTTGTATATATACACATAGGGAGGCATATATACTCAGATTTACCCAGAGAGGTAGGAGCAAAAATTTCCATATTAAATGTTTTTATATAGCTACATGCATGGGGACTGAAACTTCTCTCCGGGTATTCCAGCTTCCTCCCACAGTCCAAAGACATGCAGTTAGTGGGGTTAGGTTAACTTGTTAGTGTAAATTGCCCACAGGTGTGAATGTGAGTGTGAATGGTTGCCTGTCTCTCTGTGACAGAACAGCAACCTGTCCAGGGTGAACCCTGCCTCTCACCCCTGGCAGCTGGGACAGGCTCCAGATTCTTAGTTTTTTAATGACATTTTGTACTGCAGGTGATGAGATAATCAGTCCTTACAATTTTACACAGACATCAGTCTGAAATTGTTCCACAATTTGAAGATTCTGCCCGTCTTTACTACTCTGTCCTTCGAAGATGCTCTTTTTATACACGCAGTCATGTTACCGACCTACTCCCATTTAATGAGGAGAAAAATGTTCCTCGGCCTGCTTGTTTTTACTTCACTTCATTTTTCAGCCTTTAGTTGCCACCTGCTGAAATTGTAAATACTTTAAATTTAGAATAGAATAGAATAGAATTCAACTTTATTGTCATTGCACATGTCACAGGTACAGGGCAACGAATGTTTGTTACCATTTTAACAAACATTTGATATGTTTAATAAACGGAACTTTGGAAAAAAATATGTGTTTATGACATTTGCAAAATATTACATCACATTTTTATTTACATTTTACACAGGACTGCAGCAGTTTCTGAATTCAGGCTTGAAGTATGAAGGACTGAATATGACAAAACTAGAAATTTACAAATTCATTCTATCATTCAATTATTTATTTATGTGCATGGTTGGTTTTGTATAAGGTATGGCATAGAGGTCATAAAAATAAAAGAATGTAAAACTCATAATCTAGCACATTTATGGACTTTACTTTTCTGCATTCCTCCTAATGACCAGTAGAGGATGAGGCCTCTGTTTGCAAAATAAACAAACAAATAAATCAATAAATAACTGTTGGCTTTTATTTATGAGCTCAATAAAAACGTTACTGATAATTTTATGTCGTCATTCACTTCTCTTAGTATTATTTGATACAACATGATCTATAGTAAAAAGAGACTATTAAGCAGAATACCCTTTAGGGCATTGTTTTCAATGAAAACCAGTCAACTCAAGCAGAAACTAATGGAGGCAGGACGGTAAAGAGGAAATGGTAACCGTGGGAAAGAGTAAAGTCCTGTGAATCAGTAACGTGGGTCTAGTGGTGGAAAGAAACAGTACATTTATTCAACCACTGAGGACTTATAAGTGCAGTTTTGGGGTTTTTTGTTAAGTAAGTAGTACTTTTTAAGCATTTGTTGATGTTTATGAATGTGCAGTATTTTAACATGAAAGCTAATAGGTGATTATGTTTGTGGATGTATACTATGAAACAGAACCAGCAGCACGGTGGTGCTATACTTAGCACAGTTGGCGAAGGGCGAGGGTTTGAGTGTTTCTGTGGGGAGCTTGCATGTCCTCTGCAAGGCTTTTCTCTCAAACTTTGTGTCCAAAATATAGCGCTTTGTGAGGGCTTATCATATTAAGTAAGTAAATTTTGGCCATTTCCATAAATGCTTAAAAAAACAACTTCCACTTCGTTAAAACAAAGCTTATATTAAGCTCAGTATGTGCTGCGTTATGAAGCCACAGAAGTGGCTGTTGCCTCAAGCACAAACAATAATTACTGACACACCTGGTATTAACTCTCCCTCCTTTATGTTGGAGATGTTTTTGGCTCCAGGGCTGCCCAACCCTTTAGACCTACACAGCAGTGTAACACTATGACTCAGCTCTCAAGGAGATGTACAATTTGGATCAAGTGCAACACCAGTCAGTAGGCCAGTGCTCCACCACTACGGTCCAGACTGACACTAACTAGCCTCCAAAGATAGCGTGGTAAGTATAGAACAAAACACAAGCAGAAAGTTGAAACAAGTTGAAAAGCTGGTCATCTAAAACCTGTAAGCAGATAGATTAATAAATGATTATTACAACTGTAAAATTTCTTAGGGAAATAAATTTCTTATTAAAAAATGCAAATCATTTTAAAACGACTTCATATAAGTAACTGCGATACTGACCTAATTACTGAGTAATAATTGGTCTATAACTTTCCTTCTAAGCTCTCGTTTCATGAAACACTAAAACTGAATTGATAAGAAGTTTGATGATAACAGGTAGTAAATATCAATTAGCTTTGGGTGTCTTGCTGTTAACAGTAAAATATGGAATTGTAGTGAAATGTTTGCAGCCTAAATAAAGCTTGTTAAAACATACATGATCTCTCTCTGCTCAGGTCTCTGTTGCCCTGTGGCGTATTCACTACCCTTATAGATATGACTTGCAGGATTAGCCCCATGTTTACTGTTCAGGTTAGTATTCAGTGAGTTTCCACAGGGAGGCTGCAGACACATGTGACAGATTTTGGCAACACTGTAGCTGCCAATTTGCTTTTTTTCCTTTTGTTAAAAAACCCCATTTATCGTAAAATTAAGCATCACATTACCTCAGTAAATGAAATAACAAAAAGCATCTGATCATGACTCACTTTTGACCAAAAGCTACTTTGGTTTGGTTTGTTTCTGCAGACCTGTAATATATTTGAGGTTTTAACCTCGCGGTCCTCACTGACTTTGAGACTTCCTCAAACACCACCATGACAAAACGTCTTTGGTTTGTTCCAACATATCTAAACAGCCATGAGATGGACTGTTACATAATGTGGTACACGCATTGATGGCGCTCAGAGGAGTGATCCTGACGACTTCCACTGATCTGCTGCTTTTGTCTTTCAGTAAAAAAAGAAAATTAAAAATGACTGAAAAAAGTTATGCCAGCAGCCCCTTGCACCCAGAATGTGGCCTTCCTTCCTTTAGAACAACATTTAAAATATACATAGACAAAATAAAGAAATAGCCCTAAAACATTTTATGTTTCTATATCATGCAGTGTTGGGAAGGTTACTTTTAAAATGTATTCCATTACAGATTACAGAATACATGCCCCAAAATGTATTCTGTAACGTATTCCGTTACG